CCCTTCCTTAGCTCGCTGGGCATTGTTCACCGTCAATTGTGCCTTGAGAACCTGTTTGTTAGGCGATCTGGCTTTGATGTGTGGCTGGGTGGTCTCGAGCAGGCTCGCGACGTCTACGAGACTCAATCTTACATCCAGACGAATAAACTCAACAGGGATGGCGCCGACAAAATGGACACTTGGGCAGACGGTGTGGGGTCTTCTCTGGGGCTTCTCGGAGCCACACAAGCCGAAAAGCTGCGCTTCTTGAGTCCCGAGGCTCTGGATGACAACCATTTTTCCAGTAGCAGCGACGTTTTTGCCTTTGGGGTTTTGCTCTGGGAGGTATTACTGGCTGAAACCATGTTCAAAGGTGAAAGTCGGCCACGCATCGCCCAGCGCATTCGCACGCACAACATGCCTGCTCTGCCTGTCAAGTATTCGACGTTTGCTGATGTCTACTCGCATTTGGTGGATCGCGTGCCTGCCCGTCGTCCCTCCTTTGACAATCTGTACTTCATGCTGCTCAACGCCGAAACCCCCGAGAGCGGTTATTTGCCTCAGCTTGCCGTGGCCACCATTCGCCCGACCTGGAGTACGACTGACCTCATTGCTGGTACTGCCACGATTGATGATGCGCGTTTGGCCGGTAGCCCCGTCACCTGCTTCATTCCACGAAAAGCGAATTCTGATGCTCATTGGACGACGCAGTTTCATCTTCTACTGCAACTTCCACATGATGGCTTAGTCCAGGTCCTCAGTGTGACCGAGTGCACATTAGAAGGGGCGCGGCGTCCCTGCTTAGTGGTCCCACCCTGTGCCCCGTACGCCTCAGCAGACCCGCCTTTGCCTGCTGCACAGGTCGTTAAAGAGCTGGCGTTGGATGTGCTTATAGTGCTTGAATACCTGGCGGCACGCCAGTGCGCACCACGTGACATCCGTCTGGAGCATTGCGTGGTCCTCGAGGGTCGCATCGGTCTCGTCGGACTGGCCCTGGCTAATGTGGGAGCATCACTGGGTCTACTTGAGAATTATCTTTCATTTTTGCGCGAAGCTCGTGGCGGGCTTGTCGCCTTGAATGGGAACGCCACGCTTGACAGGGTGATTGCTTGTGTCGAGGCCTTCATGACTCGAGTGGATCGTTACATCCTACCTGAAGCGACCACTGGGGATGGGTTGACACGGCCTCAGCTGCAGTCTGAAGCCCTGAGTGCTCTTGCGCGCGAGCTACGCGACATCTGCCAGCCCAATAGCTCTTGGAACGTGCCTCTGAGTGCCCTGCAATTTGTGCGGGTTTTAGGAAGCGGCCAATTTGGCGAGGTCTGGCTGGCCTCCATGCCTGCACACGCACACAGCAGTCCCAATTACTCCAGCAAGGAAACCGCCGCAGCCACGAGCAAGCGCGAGGTCATGCTGGTCGCTGTGAAGCGCTTGCTCAATGACGAGTGCCTGCACGAATTTGAGCAAGAACTAGCCATTATGATGAAGATCCGTCACGCCAATTTGGTGCGCATGCTCTTTGTCGTGCAAGAGAAGCAGCATCGGGCGTTGGTGCTGGAATATCTGGACGGCGGTGCCCTGGATTCGTGGCTGCAAGGCCAGAGCAAACCTCCATCCGAGGAGCGAACGCGGCATATTCTGCATAGCATTGCCTGTGGTATGCTAGAACTACAACGCCTTGGCATGGTGCATCGAGACCTGGCGGCACGCAATGTCCTTTGTGATGCTCAGATGCAAGTTGTCAAGGTTCGTCAAGTCAGGCCAGAGGGGCTTATTTGCCACGGCTGGCAGATCGCATGTTCGCGTTCTTTCTCACACATGTGTTGTTGCTGCAGGTGGCTGATTATGGTCTTTCGCGCTCGACACGCGTCGGCAAGGATGATGAACAAGCCTACTACAGTATGTCTCGCCGCCTTGTTGCTCACACTGCCGACGCCAGGGTACTACGGGCATCCTCGGCTGCTCTTCTGCTCATGAGTGATCTTCTTGTTGTGTGCGTTGGATCATAGAATTCAAAACACGCCGCCCTATGCCAGTCCGCTGGATGGCACCTGAAGTGCTCAAAACGCAAAAGTTTACCGTGGCCACAGATGTGTTCAGCTTTGGCGTTTTGGTTGGCGAGGTTCTGACTCAAGCCGAGCTGCCATTGGCTCATCTAAATGATGAGAGCTTGATGCTCCGAATCACTGATTGTGTCAAGAGTGGAGGATATGGAGGGAGGCCCTTGCATGCTCCTCCAGTAAAAGCGCCAGCCTGGGTGTCTCAGATTATGGTTGACTGTACCCTTTTTGATGCAGCCGCCCGGCCAGACTTTGCTGATCTTGTGGTCCGGCTATCGCCATTCACCTTCATGGCGTCGCCGACGAATGCGGGGCGCGCTCGTACAAACACGGGTGCCTCCTCCATGTCATCTCGTCGCATGACTGGCACAATCAGCCAAAGCTCAGGACTGGGACCGGGACGGCATGCTTCAGTCAGCTCAATCGCCTCATCCTTGCGCAGCAATTCTGGTGGCCCTGTCCTGGGACACTCGAACGAAGGACACGAACGTCACAAGCTGCTGTCAGAAACCCACGACTCTCGGCCTTTGCCCTCGGACTATTACAGGGCTAATCCCGTCACGGAGCTGACTATGCAATCTTTACGGCCGCCTCAGCAGAGCACCCACGCCGCGTCGCAGTCGGAAACCTCACCATACCTTCAACCGCGCGGTCAGTCACCGAGTGGTGCCAACGCCTATATGCGGCCTCAACCGCTGAATCTCCGAGGCGCACCCGTTTCGGGAATGGCACAGCCTTCGCCGTTGATGATGCAGCAATTGGCGAGCAGACCCAGCCCGTATCCGCAGGCGGCCCCCCGCAGTGGTTCACCTCCCACCAGCCCTGGGCCCTCACCTTTAAGTCCGAGCTCCCAGTCTCCACCACCCTGGAGTGGTCAGCAATACAACCAGCGCGGGCCAGCCAATGCCTATGTGCAGCCCCGGCGGTTGAGTGGCACGGGGGCTGAGGCTGTGGCCGGGAGTACCCGGCTCGGTTCCTTCTCAACATCAGGCCCGCAACACAACCAATCTGCGACTTTGTCTACTGGCGCAAACGCATATCTCATGCCGGCTTTTCAGCATGCCCCGGAAATGCAGCTTGATACAGATGCTGTGGATGAATCGCACCTGTAGTGTTTTTTTTTTTTTTTTTTTTTTTTGGCTGACTTGTGCCCTTTCATAAAGCCGATGAGTCGTTTTAAGCTCTTGCTCATGTTTTTTTTTTTCAGGATTTGCTTTCTTTTCAATATTGTATTTGCTTTTAAATGATGATGGTGGCGACTTATTGTGACTGTGTTGTTGGTAAGATGTGATGGTTCTCGTTTTCTGTCTTCTTCTTTTGTCTGATTGACATTGTGATACGGGTTTGGAAAAATCGACAATCAGAAAGATGCATGATCATCTGACTCCATGACCAGTCAACGCAGCAGCTCAAAAAACAGGCTGGATGAAAGTAGAGCAAACATTTGCGTGGGCACACCGCCTGCCAACGCTCTACTGGGCTCGCTTACGGTTTTCCGTCAAAATAGCGGCCAACTCCTTTTCGATGGCATCCAGACGGGACTGGACGAGGTCTGCACGCTGATCTTCCAGGCTAGAAAAGAAAAAAAAAAAAGCAAGGCAAACAAAGAAATGAAACAGTGGTTTCATGTTGAAGCGCAGAATGGAGCAGATTCGGCATTTTGCCATTTGCAGTAATTTTGTGGCTCACCTTTTATTCTCGGCCAGACACATGGCACGCTGTACGGGAACAATGTTGGCGAAGCGACGGCGCTGCCAGTGCTGTAAGACGTGAAGCTCCGAACTGGTAAGCTCTTTGCCCTCGCGCTCACGATGCTCAGCGTACAGAATGAACCAGCAGTAGTTCCACACCTATGAAACAAGAATGAGTCAAAGTTTTGTGCATCCCATTTGCTTTCGGCTTGATGCTTGTTGCAGACAATGGGCATAGGACAATGACTGACGTTGTGGTCAAAAGCAATGTGGCCATCAAAACCCGACGGAGAAACATCTTCCAGGTCGTCACGTGTGAGGCTACACACGAAACACACATTGGCATTGGCCGCTGTTTGGGAGAAGGCGCAATAGGATTGGGTGTGAGAGGGCACTTCAAAGATGCATCCACACATGCGCAGTCAAAATGACGAGACTTACAGGCAATGTTCTCGCTCTCTTCGCGGAACTGAGCAAACGAATCAATGATCAGACCCGACACAATGCTGGACATGATGAGAACAACGAGAATAAAGTAAATCAACGCATAGAAAAATGCACCAAGGCCGAGCTCTCCATCAAAGACCGGAGAACTGTAAAACCCGTAGTACACGTGGTCACGTAGGCAGTCCAAGAAGGTGTGTTGGGGAGTGCAGATGGCTGAGGTGTCCGCAAAACCATATTCACCCATAAAAGCGGCCAACCCAATGAGGGCAAAGGCATAAATCAGCAGGAAGGTGAATGCAAAGGTGCCCAGTAGGCGTGGGAGGTTGCTCTTGACGGCGCGCACCACGAGGAACATGACGGGCACGTGAAGGGCTAGGTCGAAAATGTGAAAGGCATACCATCGCGTGTCATGAATGAGACCGACCAGGCTTAACGCGCAATAGAGGACGAAAAAGGGCGCGCCCGAGCTATGGACCCAGAATAATTGCTGCTTGATGAACTGCACTGCGTACTGTCCAATGGGCAGCTGCATGGCGGGCGCGAGTTCCGCGTAGCGCTCCACATCAACTGGTAGGCCGTTGAGCGCATAGCCAGCCAGCATCAAGATTGCGCAGACAAGATGCAGAATCTTGACAATGTCCAGCACGAAAAGAGGAACATCCGGTTTCTTGCCCGCCTCCTTCAAAAAGTCATTGCCCAAGTCAAAGATAATGTACACGTTCAAGAGAATGGTCAGGAAAAGTGCCAAGAGTGAGACCAGGCGTTGCTCGCTTAAAAAGAGTTTCCACCACGATTCATGGTAGCGGTCCTATCCAAGCGCCCAAGGTGAGGAGGCGTCGCGTGCGATCATCTCTATGCAATCAAACATGGTGTGCCTGCACGTACACGACGCTCAACAACGTTCAGGAGAGAGTTTGCCTGGTTAAAAAAGCCCACGATCTTTTGCATCGGATTCAAGAGAATGGTACTGTTGATCATTTCCTAGAATCAGCACATCCAGGTGTCAATAGGCCGAAGGGGGGATTGGTCCTCAAGCTGAGACAACCAGCATAGCTCATGACCCTCGATGACACACCTGCTTGAGAGTTTGCACCATAGGGTGGTTTTGGCTGGCGGTCACCGCGGCGGGTAAGGGAAAGTACAAGGCTTCGATGTCGTCATTGCGAAGAAACTATGTGGTTGAATACAACGAGTCGGAAAAGATACCGTGCACCGGGCGTGAAAGACGAGCAAAAAAAAACAGCGATGCGCTCGTTGCCAGTATATAAGCGCTGGTCAAAAACGAGCCGACAAACCTCAATGCGCCCAACCGTTTTGCGAAGCCCGGCGTGATTGCGGTCCTCCCAGGCCGTCAGCTTTTGGCGAATACGTTCACCGTGGAAGCGCGAGCCGTCAATAAGCAATTTAATGACAATGTAATAACCATAGGCAACGTCGGCATCGGAGTAGTGCGTGGCGTCGGCGTCATCAACTTCATCTTCGATATCGCTGTCATCGTCCTCCTCAAGGCCGTGCTTTGATCCTGCTGCCGCCATGTGCTTGGACAGATTGTGCATCATCACGTTGGCATCTGCACTCAGACTTAGCGAGTACTGGCTTGAAATACCGACAGGGAAAAGGCAGGAGCCCAGCACATCAAAGGCATGATCACCTGCTTTGCGGCCTTCAAGAAGGCCGCGAAGCAGCTCGAGAATAGCGTTTTCACAATCTTCATCAATCGAGTCCATGGTATGCAAGAGCTGCTGACACATCTTAAGTGAATGCAACTGTGCCGCTGTCAGCATGATTTCAGAGCCTGCCTTTTGGCGAAAGTCTGATAAGCCATGCTCATGTTCGATCTCCTCAATCTGAAAGAGGTAGGCCCAGTCGACGGTGATTTGCAATGCAATGTCACGGTTTCGATCAATAGTGAAAAAGTTGTTCATCTCGTGGGGTTGATTCTCGTCGGTGATCTGCAGTGGTCGTGGGAAAAAAAAAAAAAAAATAACAATAAAAAATAAAATAAAAATAAATAATGAGCGACATGGTTGGCAGGCCAGGGCAGACTGACAGTCACAAAAGTGGTGCGGAAAAAAGGTCACAATCACACAATAACCAACAGTGGTGGAACACGCGGCAGCAACGAAGAAAAAAAAGGGGGGGGGGGCAAGAAAAAAAAAAAGAGAGGACAAGAAGAAAGCGAGGCAGACAGGCAAAATCAAAAAGAGGAAGGTATCGGTGAAGAGCCCCTACCTCGAGGTCAGAATACTCCATGTAGGTGAGGTACAGGAGAAGAGGATCCTGAACATTATTTTCAAGAAGCATGTGCTGATTTGCCAAGTTAGGCCCTGTCACAAACTTGGCGATTGTTTCATATGTCTACTCCAAAGCGACGAGCATACAATGAGTTCTGGCGCAACATGTGCCACGTGCGGAGCAGGGTGCAGCAAACACAGCACACCTGTTGAAGAACCCCAACATCATTGACTTCACGGCGAAGCTCCTTCTCCACTTCGCCAATGGCTTCATCGCGCTCGATATCTTGCACAGAGAAGCCATCTTGCAGGCGCATGCGAATTAGCGGTGCGTAGGCGCCCGCTAAATCCACCAAAGTTGCCAACACATCAATCTAGGAAGTCAATCGAGAGCATGAGGCGTGACCAAAGGGCATGCCAAGAAGATCTTGCTTGGTCATGAACAAAACTGCTGATGTACATGATTGACACACCTTTTGCCCTTCTTGGTGGCGGAAAATCGTCTGCATGTCCATGTAGCCGCCCGCAAGCATGGCTTCAATCAATTTCAGCAACTCCAAAACCGTATCATTTTCTCTATGAGGAGCACAAGCGACAGTATGGTGAGTGCAAAAGTTGAGGAGCATTGCATATCGTGTGCTGTGCCCCTTTGCTCCCCAAAAAACTGAATCTTCGAACTGTTCAATGGGGGCACTCACAGGTCTTCTTGATCTTGATCACGATGCAGGCTGCGAATCGGATCTTCGTGCACGCGTTTGTTGAGAAAGTGAATATGCTGCTCAAACCGATGTTGCCAGGCCAGGAGAGCACGCCGACCGACTGGGCTTTTGATAGCGCGTAAAAAGCTGCGTTGGCTGAGGTCGTTGAGAGACGATTGAATCTTGACCTTGGTCATATCAATCTCATTTTCTTTGGGAGTCGAGCGCAGGAGCAAAACGCCAAGTCGCGCCGCCATTTCCACGGTGCTGCGATGGTGTGCTGCCACCAGGAAAAGGAGCATCTCCGGCAAGTTCAAGCGATTAAGGTGGCGAGCCACTTGCTTGACATCAACAAGCTGTTGCTCAGCTTTGGTTGAATGGTGGCGGTGATGGTGAGTGTCCTCTGTGGAGAGGATGCCACAGAGCAGGATAAGAAACTCTTTGACAACCTGCTCTTCTTCAGCAAAGTCTTCAGACGCGTAATCATCCACCTCGTGATGCTCAAAGTGAGTGATGATCCGCTGGAGGCATTGATCAATGTCAATGTCGATAAAAGCATGTACGCGCACAGCACGGCGCACAATACTTCGGCCATGATGGTGTGCAGTGCCAGCCTCTGTCTTCTCATCGCTCTCGACGGTATCGCCACCTTTGCCGTTGTGATGGCCAGACAAAAGCTTTCGAATGATGCCCACCTGTCCAAGAGGATGCGGGTGAAAACACGGGCTCGTGAAACGATGCATAGGTATGTGGGGGTATCAGCCAAAAGCCAAGCCACCATCGCCTTACCAATCGCCAGAACTCTGGAAAGTCAAACTCCTCCTTCAAATTGTGCATCCATGAATAGTGGTGAGGACGATGGCCTTCTTGAAAGCCCTTTTTGATGAGCTCCACAAAAAACGGCAGCTCCATTTGAATCTTATCGCCTTCTGATGCTTCATTCGTCTGCATAGCAGCAGCTAGTCGCGCCGTGCCCGTGCCAACATTTGCCGTGTGATGGGCGCCAGAGCCCCGCTTCTTCCCACCCAACAAGCTGAGCTTGCTGCTGCCATGCTTGCGCGTGCCCCGCGAACCGTGGCTACCATGCGAGCCGTGGTTCTGTGCAGCAGTGGCGAGGCGCATGGTTTTAGCTTCGGCGTCATCATACCATCGCACAACCTTGATGAGCTTGACTTGTTCGCTTTCGTCGCCAAAAACTCCACTCAGAATGTTAAGATTGATAAGCTCAGCAAAATCTTTCAGTGCTTGCGCAACTGAGACGCGGTCATCATGGGCCAAGATGAACTGCGGGTTTGAGAGGCTTAGTTTCTTGCGCTTGTTGAGGTAAGTGACCAGGACGGAGCGCAGAGCTGAGGCTTCCGTTGTGAATTCCACCGCTTGGGTGGGGTCCACTTCGCGCAACAAAGCTACGGCATGTTGTGTCATGTGCAAAAAAAGCGGCAGGACATGGTCGCAGATAAAGGGATCCAAATCCGTGACCGTGACCTTCCAAGAGCGCTTCATGACGACAGACAGCTGCTCAACTTGCACCTTTAACGATGTGCACACGCGAGTCAAGTCGAGGAGCTTTGAAGTGGCCGAATCGCCATCAAACCCATACATTTCGAAATCACCACCGGCCTCCATCGGCACCTCATCTGCAAGTGTTGGAACATAATCATCGTGTTGGTATGAATATAGCGGCCAATCATTAGACATGCCGCGGAGATAGCTGCTCAAGCGTGAAAAAAAAAAAAAAAAAAAAAAAAAAAAAACATAAAATAAAAAGCAGGACACGCACCATCCAGATCAGTAGCTTCGAGGTGAGGAAAATAGATCAAGTTGACAAAGGCAATGAAGGCGACCAACGTCTTGCGTGGGATGCCATGGCTTTTTTCTTTCGCAGACGAGGATCCAATGTGCAAGAAGGGTAGCATGGCCTCGTGGTATGGGATTAAGCGGGTGATGGAGTCCTTGATTTCAGCGTTGCCGTCGCCCGCCATGGCAAGCAAATGCACAAACTCTACTAGCAACTCACGTAGGTGCTCTTCTTCCTGCAAGCGGAAATAAAAATGAGTTTGCATGTTGAGACCAGCTGAACATACTCTATGTCAAATAGCGGTCATCCATGCTGCAGCACAAAACGAACGTGTGTCGGGTCGCTCTTTTCGTAGAGCGTGACAATGGCTGACATGACGTTCTCGTTGCGTCCCAGCACGTTCCCAAATGTTTCTGCCCCAAAGTCGATAAGGACCTGCATATATAAAAAAAAAAAAAAAAAAAAAAAAAAAAAAAAAAAAAAAAAAAAAAAAAAAAAAAAAAAAAAAGAGCGGCAATGCGGTCAAAGTGAAATGGAATGGTGAGTCGAGACGCATTGCCTCCGAATCAATCCAAAGGTTGACATTGCATTTCTGGAGAAGCCATGCCCAAGTACGCGGAACACTGACCTTGTGGGCATCAAGAGCTTTAATAAGGCCGTTGAAGATCTCGGTTTGAATGTTTTGTGCAAAGCTCTCAGTGATGAGCGCGCGCAACATGCTCAAAAAGTCTGGAGTTTGACAACGCGAATTCTCAGCAAAAGCGTCAATGAGTTCACCAATCTCCTCGCGGCCTTGTTCTGCAAAGTGTTCCTCGGCCAGCTCGCTGTTGCTTTGCAAAAGTGCACCCAGCATTTTCTCGGCGTGGATGCCGTGTGCACAGCAACGCAGGATGGTTTCAACATGGTGCTCATCGCTAAATTCGCGTTGGTTCTCCTTGTCCTTCAGCACAAAAAAGGCCAAAAAGTCAAAACATGACTTGAGAAGCTCGTCCACCTCAGGACTTTCAAGAAGGTCTTGGATCTGGGCTGCGGTCTCAGTGTGATGCTTGATAATGTCGAAGACCAGGTTGTGCGCACCCTCGTGGCGAAAGATTTCTTGGTGATGATGGTGAGGCACGAGGCGACTTCCTGGTCGACGCCAGTTGACTGTGACGGGGTCACCTAAGACGTCGTTGACGTTGATGCATTGCGAGGTCATCCATAAAATTTCGTCGGTCATGTGACGGGCCACATGGTGAATGTCCTTGTGATCTTCTTTGCCCAGCTCCAGAAGCGTTTCACGCAGTTTCTCAAGCATGATCTGGTCTGCCTCATCAACCACAAATTCAATGTAACGCAATGCTTCCAGAACCATGCCTCGGATGTTGAAAGAGGACATGAGCAGGTCGAGAGCAGCAATGCGCATGCCTCCGTGCGTGTAGCGCGTGAGCTCTAAAATCAGGTTGGTGAAGTCCTCTGCGGTCATGTTGTGTCGAGCAAACCAGAACAAAGCCTGGTCACCATGTGGGACAATGTTGTGGAGCTGGCGAGGCGTGAATTCAAGATGCATGCCCTTTTTGCTTTCATAGGCCTGCGTAGTTTGTAGTCCATGACGAGTTGACGAAGAACAAAACAGAAAGAAAAAAGGAAAAAAAAAAAAGAGGAAAGAAAAGGATGAGCATTGAAAGTATGCCAATCAGCATGTCCAAGGCCGTCACGGGGAGTTTGTCGGGCAATACAGCGCACCTGCTTGAAGCCCTTGAGTAGATTGCTGACATGTTCACTGACATCCCATTTCAAAGATGCATTGAAAATGTTGCAAATGGCTTGTTTGGCACGATACATGACCTCGAAACCGTGGCCGTGGTGCACGGTGAGCTCATTGATGCCCAAGCGGCTGTTCATGAGAATGGCGAGAAGGTGGTGGGCGATGGCCTGGCGGCGACCGGAGTCTACGTAGTAACCAAGTCTAGCAAAAAACAAAAATAAAAACAAAACCAACCAAACAGAGAACATTCAGTTGACGGCTTTGTTGGAAAACTGGATGTTGTATCACAGAACGCACTTGATCATGGTGCCGATCATGTGGAACAAAGCTTCACCCATCTCATTGAGGTCAATCTCTTCCTACACGGCAAAACAGATGCATCAGGGGTTTGAACAGAGTCGAGTTGATGTGACAATTACGTGTGTGAACAAATTTGGCTCGCGAAAAGAAGGATGAATGCGATTCAAGACATCAAATGAGGAATTGCTTCCCCAATCAAACAGATACGCACATCAATCAGCTTCTTTTCTTCGCTGGAAAGCTTTTTGTGGGGATCATGGTGAAGCTCGTGCTCGACGTGCAAAAGTTGCTGGGCGTTTGCAGCAAGAAAAGACACAATCCATGTGTGCAGTTCGTCAAAATCGAGGAGGTTGGCAATGACTTTCTGACGGTGGGCAGCTTGGCGCTCGTTGCCAAGATCGTTCCACATGCTATTCGTTGCAACCCATGAGTTGGACGCCGAAATGGGAACGTCGATTCAACTCAGGCATTGGGGAGTAAAGAGGCAAACATTACTGGCGTGTTTTTGCAGATTCATGGTACAAACCGGTTCTCGCCGTCATCCTCCAGCAAATCGCCATCAGCGATGTAGAGGTTCGTACACAACGTAAGGTAGCATCGCTTGAGCGAAACAGGCAGATCATTGGCCTTCAGAATGGCCATAATTTCAACAAAAGGGACGTGTTCGGGCTCGCGAAGGGTCGTATCTGCAACCTTGCCAATGGATAGATGGTTGTACCTATACGCGTTGAGGATCTGGGTGTCAAGGGCCTCTATCACACGTCGCCCAAACCAATTGAAAGGGGCGGGGCTTACAACTGGAGCACAGCTTCGTAAAATCGCAATGAGTCGTGGTTCTTGCAGTACGTGGCAAGGCTCTCCCAGCTGGAAAAAAAGAAAATTGGGAGGAGACTGGTGAGGGTGGCTTCGAGGCATTGAGATGATGAGCGACCAGTTCATCAATACGGGGACTCGCTCACATACCGGCCCTCCCACTGCTCATACGGCTTATTGGGAGTGGGCTGACGCGCAAAAATTTGAATGACACCGTTTTGTAGCTTGGTGCTAGGGAGAAGTTGCTGTTCAACAGGAACATGGGATTCTCCCAAAAGAGCGGCCCGCAGCATGGATTGAATGTTGACAATGGGGATGTTATCATGAATGCAGAGGCTGCTAAGAAGGTGAAGGTCCTGTTCGAGATCAGCTAGCGTGTGTGCCTCTCGCAACATGCGGAGGTACACTTGGATGTAGGCATCGCTGAGATTGGAAAGCAGCTCAAAGTTATCTGCAAAGATTTCTTCAAGGGTGTCGGCCGCATTCCACTGAGCGTCCACTTGACTGAGCAGACGTGACATGTCAGTAATGTCTGCAAGGTAAGCATGTGCAATCTCGTTGCTTGTGTGTACGTTATCGTGGCACATCTGGCGCAACAGCCGCATGGCACGACGGGCAAGATCATTCACGACCGTGTCCGAGTCGATGCGCGTGCGCCATTCGGGCAGCCAGTGCAAGTGTCCATCTTCACCGCGAGTAAACGGCATGCGTAAGAAGCCCTGTTACACGTGAAACCCATGCCGCGATGCCGACCACACAAATGATTCAAAAACCAGGACATTGACGAACAGGGGCGAGTGCATTTGAGTGAATGGGTTTGAACCGGCATGCCAAAGAGACAGGCCTAAAATTCACAACTAACTCAAAATAGCACTGTGAAGCTTACCATGAGCATGTGGTGGACGCGCAAGTCAAGAAGCATGTTCTGGTGCAAAGTTTCGCCATGGCCGTCAGCCTCGAGTGCATCATCAGCGTCATCGTCTTCAGTGCAAAACTATGGGCAGATTAGCGGTTGAGAAGGAGTGCCAAACATGCGAGGCACAGGGGGGACGCAGCAAAGTAGCTTTTCCTACAAAGATCAACTTGTCGATGGCAACACGGGCTTCGCCTAAGCTGCGACTAATTCGGTGGTCCTCGATCTCGTTCAGGTCCACTCCCAGCTGCTCAATCTTCTTCACGTGACTGCCATTGCCTCAAGCAAAGCGAGGTGTTGATTGTCAGTTTGGCAGAGGAGATGGCGTGGATGACGAGAAAAGCTAGGCAACGTACCCAAGCGCGTAGTAGAAGTTGCGGATATCGGCAGCAGACACGTCCATAAAGGCAAATGCGTCTTGATCCTGACGCACACTTTGTATCATGGTTCGCAAAAAGTGTTGACGATCGGTGCCATGCCCGCTGCTATGCTCCTGAGCCAATTGAGTGACGTGAGGGCGAACGTTGACAGACTTGATGACCAACAGAGTTGCGGAGGGTCTGTACCTCCACTAGCTCGGTGGCCGTGTTCACAGTTGCCCAGCCGCGTTGGGTGGAGTTGCTCAGATAGAAGAACGTGTGGTAGCGCACGGGCTCATTCATGGCAAAGCCACCCGAAGCAATTCTGCGGATCAAAACGGGGAGCTTTGAGAAAGAGGATGCGACGTGCCAAGATATAACAGCGAGTGAGGGTAAAAGCCTCTTTTTTTTGCCACTGACTGAGTTGTTTCGATCAGCTGCATGAGGTTGTGAGGATTGCTGGGGCCTTCGACGGGGGCCATGGCATTGGTTTTGGTCTTGGCTTCAAAGTTGAAGTATTGGTTGGTGAGCAAATTGCGCAACCGAATCTCATCGTTCCAACGCACTGCTCGACCACCACGACTAACAGCAACAATTTGGCAGCACCGAATTTTGATGCGCGTGAGGTTTCCCACGAAGAAGGAGAGGCATAGGCAATGCAATGAAGCAAACGTCACAATTCTAAGGGACAGGCTCACCGATCGGTGTTCTTGAGTTCGACCTGCCAGATTGAACTGGCGTCATGGTAGTCCATGGCGTCTGAGCCATCTCGAAGTTGACGCAGGCAAACGGTATGTTCAGTGCCAATAAACTGGCCGGGCACGTCCTGTGGGTTTTGAGCCACAACAAGGAACCCTAAAAACCAACCACGGTTGTAACAAAGAAGTGAGCATGTCGAGGAGCTTTGGTTGGAATGACCACTGCTGGTCGCTCAAGATTGTCAACAGTAGAGGAGCAGAGGCGGCGAATGGGGCTTGGTCAAGCACGAAAGCGGAGGCACAAGTGCGTACCATTGGCTTCTGAGTGGTGCAGGCGTACGTAGTCACCGCCTTTGAGGACATGCTCAAAGGCTTTGCTCGAAACATTAAAAGGGGCAAAAAGTTTCATACGAATGCCCGTTGTGCGCTTGCCGGCGGCATGGACAATGGACTGTCCGGTATTATCAACATCTGTGCCCGAGAGATAGGTGGTGCCTTGGCCACTGTGGGTGTTCTCAAGAAGAAGCTGGTCGTTATAGCGAATGACATCACCAATGGCCCGGAGCTTGAAGCGCGGGAGAAGTCGAAAAAGGGTCGTCTCATCACGGGTGGGCTGGAGGCTGATGGCATAGCCTGAGCCCTTGTGTTCCTTGGTTCTTGTCACATACTGCTCGGTGGCACGATGGTAGAGGCTGATCGTATCACCGTACTTGAGGACGGCACCCTCTTCCACATCACTCGAGAGGAGCAGCTTAGGAGCAAAACAAAAAAGGAAAAAAATTACGAGAGAGAGCTTCAGATTAGATTTTGCAGCGCAGAGGTGACTACATGATTTCAGACAGGCACCTTTGCAAGCGCAGCAAAGGAACAGGGAGGCGGGGGATAAGAAGAAAAGGTAGGCGTGAGCCTGGGCGTACTTGGAAAACACAAGACTGTTCAAAGCTTGGAGGCAGCTGGTCAGTGCTCTGGTACACGGTGAGGAAATGGCTCTCCAGCACATCCACAAAGGCATAGCCATGAAGACCTGCACATGCCGGTGGCCAATGTCGGAGAGGGGCGGGTCACCGGCGCATGAGCAGAATCATGAATCGGTGAGTGAAATTCGTTTCGACTGGCGATCGACATGCAAGCCAGAGAGCGACGTTGGGGCATGGACGTTACCGACCTTCAAAAAAGAGGTTGGCAAAGTCGCCGTGGGAGAGAAAGGGATGATCCTGAACACCAATGAGATCCGCCTCGCTGACACCCGTCAGGGTCTTGGCGCGCTCCCGATCCGCCATGGCTGCGGTGGGTGATCACGTGGCCCAAATGCAGCACAGACAGGCGAGCCACTCGGACGACCTACAGTGTGACAATTGCCAGCCCCATCGATCGGTGAGTACGGCGGCCGCGATCAAGCAAAGCATCTCGGGAAGCAAGCACGCGATTTTCAACCGCGATCAGCCCCGAGGCGTTTGCGCGGCACTGGAACGTGAACCGAACAAGGCGAGGCACATGTGTGCGCCCAGACAAGCATGTAAAAATGTAAATTGTCACTAAGGCAGCGGCGACAGAGTCTCAAGCGCCCTCAAACAACATGTTTGGCTGACACGAACGATCCCAAGCAGACCTCCACAGAACGACCGACAGAAGCAAGGACCCGGGCGAGGGAGGCAAGGAGGAGGAGGAGGAGGAGGCGGAGGAGGCGGTTGTCAGGTGGGTGCAGCCTTACCCTGTCTGTGCAAAAAAAAGGATGTCTGTGCAAAAAAAAGGATGTGACGTGCATGTATGTGTTTGCTCGTTTGTGTGTGTGATTGATCAAAAGCGAATCGTGTAGAGTGACAACGTTTAAGTGTGCAAAACCCATGGCTTAGGTGTGATATCAAAATGTTATCCTTGTGTTGGTGTTGGGGCTTTTTCCTTTGAAATCCCACACACACACACACACACACACACACACACACACACACACACACACACACATACACACACACACACACCTCTGGTCGGCTTGGTGGCTGCAAGCGCGCCTCTCTTAGGGCCCTTTTCTTGAGAGGAGGAAGAGATTGAGAACAGAAAAATGGATCAGTGATTATGATCCTTTTCCTTACCTTTGGCGCGGCGAACCTTTGGCTTTTGGCTTTTCCAGCACTGCCAATATCGGGCCACTCGCCTTGGTTGTCCTTGAGCCACGTTGCAAAGGATGATCCAAGTGTCGTGTTGTGTTGGGGAAGTAGGGTCCTTCTTGTCCTTGAAAGCACAAGAGAGAGTCAAGGGACTGGACTTGTGCTGACAGGTTGACAAAGTCACAGAGAGAGAGAGAGAGAGAGAGAGAGAGAGAGAGAGAGAGAGAGAGAGAGAAAGGTATAAACAGCAAAGGCACAACCTCCACAGAGAGAGGGAGGTAATTACCACACGTAAGAGGAGACGAGAGAGAGTCTGCAGGAGAAGACAATGCATGCGTGCATGAACATGGTGGTCACCGCGTCTGTCTTCCTTGGCCACAGCTTTGCTGGCCAGTGATCGAGTCAAGGAGGAGGAGCAGTGATGCTGCGAGGACGCCGTCATGCAGTGGCAGTCGGGGTGTTATTGGGTCTACTTGTTGTCCTACTGATCACCATTCAACCCCGATTAAGCCGCCAGCCATCCGAACATCCCACCAACGCGCAGTTGAGGCGGCCTCCACACGCCAAAGTCCGTTGCGCGCCGCGCTCGCTCGCCCGCTCGCCGAGCCAGCAACTTTCGTGTTTATGTTCCAGGTATGCTCGGGGCAGCATTGCCTTAAGCTCATGTCAACTTTTGCCCTTGTTCAGGTCTGTCCTGTGGACACAGTCTGCCTTGCAGCCCCTCTTCAGCATAGCGTTAATGCAGCTCGCTCCCCACCCCTGCTCTGCGCTCACGGCCTGGATTCTGACGCCCGCGGCCATGTCCTGGACCGGTGCGAACGTCAACAGCCCCTCCTCTGGCCCGTCTCCTTCTCCTTGCCTGAGTGCCATTGCCCTCATGCCTCGCTTGCTGCCAGGCTCCCCACCGCGTGCACACAGTGCCTGTGCACACCGCTCGCACACGTCAACGCTGTGCTGTCTTCAGAGGACCCGGCCCGCGATGCTAGCTTTAATCCTGCAGCCTCTGCGAATCTCAAGGCATCGCTCATCAGCCCACGAGTTATCCTGGCCAGCGTCCCACGAAGCGGAAACTCCTGGGTTCGACAACTTCTCGAGTTGGCCACGGGTACGCCTGTCGAGTCCTGTCGAGTCCTGCTCTTTGTACTTGTTTGATCTGTCTTTTTGTCGAGTTGATTGTCGCGCTCACCTTGACCCGTACAGGCTTGGCCACAGAGTCAGTCTTTGCCGAAAGTTACAGTGTACCGACTTCACTGACCAATGCCACTAAAATAAAGGTCACTGCGGACTTCAATCCACACCTCCTTACCCATGGTCACGCCTGTGGCCGCGTTCATGCCTGTGACGCGATTCACCGCGCCACCCCAGGGTAGGCACGCCATATCGTCGGCTGCTGGCGCCTTTTGCACGCCTACAAGGCTCACACCTGTGTCCCATCAGCTCGCGGGTAGTGGTCAAAACGCACAGCCCATTCTTAACCAAACGCCGATCGGCGCATGGTGTCGTCTTCAATGCCAGCGATGCTGGAATTGGAGAAGCCGTCATCCTGCCCATTCGAAATCCTCTGGTCCGTACTCCCTCCACAGTTTTCTTTGCGTCATGAGGCACGATAGAAGTGATGTGAAACCAGCAATACTCAAACTGACCATCCTCTTATGGCTAACAGGATAATTGGAATGCGTGGGTTCGCTATCACAACCAAAGCCATCATTTGGATCGTGCGCCCCACGTGCAACTCCAAGATTTTCTCCGAGCGTGGACGCAGCACCATCACTACTGGCGCAGACATTGCCATCGCTAGTACGGGTATCATCGTATTCAACGACCTGCCCACCCCTTGCGATTGGTAGCGCTCATCTCAGCTCACGGCACAATCGCTTCCATCGCATCCTTGTCAGCGAGACGCGATGCGTCTGGTATCGCTTTGAAGATCTTCCAGCTCATCGTGGCGAAATTTTGGAGCACGTCATGCGTGCAACAGGCTTTTGGACAGACAGCTCCCCCGCTCGCCTGAGCGCGGCCCTGCAGGTGCCTCGCTTGCAACCACGCACGGCCACGTCCCATGCCTCGCTTGAGCACCTGGCCGTGGCTTGGCGGCAGTATGATCCAAGTGACATTGCTCTTGTGCTGGAAAACTCTGCTGCCATGTCTGTTTTAAGCAAGCACGGATACGACCGGCTCCTACGCGCTTGGGCAACGTGTCATGAAACACCCCACACCTGCACAGGAACGGCGTGGCTGGAAGCAGTGCGCGACCTGGTTGGTACGCCGAGCGTACTCGTCACCGTGAGCAATTGACGGCCTTCGTACGTTCGTTTCCCCAGAGCAACTGCCAGGAAGGCACTCGAGAGGCAGAGACAGAGATAGAGACGGAGACAGCTACACAGATTGTCCAAACGGACGAATTCCTTCTTTACAGTGACGTCTCAATTGTCAAAGGCTGATGGCGGATCACAATGATGTCAAACCACGCTCTAAGCCTCGTCGTCATCTGTCCAAGCATCCTCGTCATCGTCAGCTTCATCTTCAGTGCTCTCCGCGCGCAGCACCTCGGGCAAAAAGCTTTGATGTGCACGCCAATCAAAAATGTCCGATAGCGGCACCACCTGCAGAGCCCCAAGATCCGCAAACTGTGCAGCTGGATCCTGACCAGCCACTTGTTTGTGTGCTTCCACCGTAACGGCCAACATGCGGCGTGTTTTGCTTGAGGGATGCAGGTGCACGGAAAAAAACTCCATCACTTCCTCTTGCGTTAGCTTGCTCGTAAGCGTGGCTTCACGCTCGTACATGTCAAACTCAAAACCGCGCACTAAAGGTATTCCCCGTGGCCAAAACAAAAAGGGAAATAAACAAAAGCACATTGAGAAAAGCCAGGGACCATAATCGTCAGTTTTAGGCGCGTCGGTCAAAGATGCTTGAGACGTACTTTCAATCTCAGCCCAATCACGCGTCACAAGAGCTTCCATGTTCACGTCTGGTCGCAGCTTGTCGGCTACCAAGGCGTCGCGTACGCTCACAAACTGCTCCGGCGAGACTTGTTGTAAGTATGCCAGGGCGTCGGTGAAGAACTGTTCTACCCGTCGCACCAATTCGCTGGTTGGAAAGTTGGTGCCCTGCCAAAAAACACAGTGGGTGCGAATGAGAAAACATGCATTCAATGCAATACAGCATGTGCCACACACCTGTGACTCGATAGTGAGAAGCCAGCCAGGATAGCCATAGCTGTAGCGCCAATCCAGGTGTACAACATATCCCAACTGTTGCTTAGTACGCAAAACCTAGAAGCAATCAGATAAAGTAAAGAAAGGAAATTAAAAAAAGAAAAAGAAAAAATCAATGAGCCATGATTTCAAGTTTCCACACAGTGTTCGGAATCACCAACCTGGAAGGCGTTTTCCGTCAAAAGCGAATTGACAAGTTGTGCCAAGACCTTGGCCTTGCGTGTCTTGTCTTGAATTTGGTAGTACATTTCCAAGGCGTTGTTGACATCCTACATGACCAGGGTGATTCAGGAAAACCTTGCCTGAGAACAAACACAAGGATCCAGGCCACAAGAGCGATACAAGCGGGGGGCTTGTGAATTTCGTCACAATTACCTCTTGGTTGTTATTGGTGGCCGCCATGACTGTCAGTCCCACGGGCAAGTCAGTCAGGCGTTGGTTCAGAACCGCTTCCTTGGGCAGAGTCACGCTTGTGGCAAACGTGGATTCCAGGAAGCTAACCGAGCAGATTACCGTGAGCACGCCAATGAAAACGTGTACCTCAATACATGACGTGAGTCGTGGTAGGGACAAACCTTTGAATATCACGAGCCTGGTCGGCGCTGAGATTGCCGTGGACCAGAATGTCGAAACGCACCATCTGAAAGCAACGCTGCAAGTAGTCGCGCAGTCCCTGTGCCACACCACTGTCAGTCAAGACGCACAAAGCCGGCCGATCGAATCTCCACGACCAGAAAGGTAACGTTTGGTATCTGCCATACCTGGGCGGTGCAGCTGGGAACGGCATCAACAACTTCCGAGGGCAAGTTGTTATAGTAGAATAGCATCTTGGCGCGCAGCTGGGCCGCAAAGCTGGTCGGGGCGAGGCTCATGTTACGCCTGGCGCGTTGCACTTGCTTTGCCATGATGGCAAACTTCTCGTCGTCCACTTCGAGGGTTCGAGCACACTCAATGACGGCCTTGAACAAGAGGGGCAGACGGTCACTCAAGCCTGAAACGCGCACCAGGAAAGCGTCTGTTGTACCCTTGAGCTTATGGCGGAGATCAGCCAGGGACGCAGGGTACACGAGTTCAGCCAGCTTGTCCTCGAGCAGAGCCAAGTAAATGTTCATGTAGGCGGCATCGGTAGCCGAGCAAAACCACTCAGGGGATCGAATTGCCACGCGACTAAAGTGAAGAGTCAATCCGTCGTTGACAACAAGGGTCAACCGTCGTGAGAGCTAGACGGAAAAAAAAAAAAAAAACCGCGGGGGGAGGCACGAGTCTGGCTCAGATAGATTGACTCACATGGCAGCCAGAGGAAGACGAAAGACGGTATCAGGTCGGTACCACAACATGCTTTGCTTGGTCTCCTCCAACAGCACAGGCTCAGTCACGGGCTCCTCGGGCAGCGGATGCAAGTCAAAGTTGGTGGCCACGTACATGTTGGGCTCCGGCATATGCAATCCATGATCCAACCCTTGCATTTCAAAAAAATTAGAAAGCCGAACAAATGGAAGGGAACAAAAGGGTTAGACACACGTGCCAGAGGAGGTCTAAGAAGCCGGTCAATGTGACGACCAGCAACACACACCTGCTGTGGCGGTTGCAGCTTTCCAAGTTGCTTCCCATTCGGCCTTAATGGGCTGAGTAAACGCAAAAAGGCATATCAGTCGTGTCATGTTTCAATAAACCATCACACACACACACACACACACACACACACACACACACACACACACACACACACACACACACACACACACACACACACACACACACACACACACACACACACACACACCAAAAAATTGGAAAAGGATAAAAACGAAAACAAAATGCCGGACGAGCACCCTAGAACCACAAACCTGACTGCCATACGGTGTGCGAAACCAGGGTTCAGTGTCAGTGACCAAAGAGGTGCAGGACTCGGCCTTGGATGAAAAAAACATCAGCACTGATTCCGGATTCATTGCAGCTACACACATCGTGCACAGCACTTGTAAGCGCACGGCCAACCTTGACGGGGAGCGTGATTGCAACCACGGCAGTCGATGCCATGCGAAGGACCTCGATGAGTTTATTACATACCCAGGATGCGACGGTACAAAGGCAAATCGAACTGCAAATACGCAACATCTCCATCCAAGATGTGCTCGTCCGGAAAGGCCGGGGTCTGTAGCCCAGATAGAGTAGGTGAGGAGGAAGGCGAGGGTAGCCCCGGAGCATGGCGATGTGCAAAGAGAAACGACGATGATAAACGAGTTTGACAAACCGCGGTACAAAGGTCTTCGACAAACTGATACTCATCAATCTCCTCCTGAAATCGGAATCCGTTTTCCGCCACAATGCGACATTCGTCCCAAAAGCGACGTAGCTCCGACTCTGCATTCCCAAAATTTTTGAGAGCACGTCATCAATACAATAAGTGCCACTACCTAGTCGCAACCACATCTGCACCTCACGCTACACCTCCGCCAAAAGGAGGGGGCTGTTCCGTACCCGAGGCGGCACCCAAGAGTGCGATATATTCAAACACAAGTTGCACGACTTCAGCCTGATGTTCCAAGCCTTGGTCCGTCAGGGTGATTTGCACCTCAAACGCACAAAATCCAGAGTTGTTCTCGTAGTCTGTTGACCCGGCTCCAGCAGAAAGGCCTGTTTCACCACCAGCAAGCGTCAGATGAATGAAGTGGCTTGACACACGATGCAAAAGAAGCCCGAGATCATACCAAGTGCCCAATGGCGTGCCTTGAGGGCCGAAAGGATGCTGCCTAATAGCCGAGAATAACATGCAAATGAGGCGCAGCTGGATCGGCCGAGGCGTACAACTGTATGATTGCAAGTATATTCAATACCTTTGCCCTCGTGCCCGAGCAACTCGGCTAGAAAAGCAATCGGTTTGGCAGCCCATTTGTCTTGCATGCTTTCCAGACACCAAACTAGACCCATAATGTTCACATCGTTGACAGGTGGGATGGCATAATAGCGATGAAACACCTAAAAGATATGGTAGTGTCAATGGCAATGGAGTGTCAATGACGGGAAAGTGAAAATCACGTTCCATCTTGCCGTCACGCATCGCACCTTGGGATCCCAGGGGGTTGGCAAGCCTCGAATATGTGCACTGGGTTGGCCAGTCGTAGGCACGGGAGAAAAGGATTTGACCACCATGGCCTACATGAGGAGCAGGTACAGGGCGGTGAAACAGAAAAGCGGCATGACTGAGGTGGGTCCAAGGTACCCTTGAGAAAGCTGAGCGATTAGCACCATCGTCTCGTGTACCTCGAGTTCGTCGAGTTCGTCGAGGCCCAGCACAACCAGTGTCATGCGGGAGGCTGAGTAGTGAGTCTTGAAAAACGACTGGAGGGCAGCGCGCGTGTTGATGCCTTTCTACACAGGGTTGAGACAGAGCGTATGTAGGTCAGCTGACTGGGCCTAAAGAAGCATTTTCTGAAGTGTGAGACAAACCTTTTTGGGGATAGTCTTGAGACTCTTGAGGTTGCCCCAGCCAAACTTGTGCGCCGGATGATCTGGGCGTGCGAGGTGGCAAAAGATCTGCTCACGACGGACGCCGTCGTGTTGCTGGTTCATCTCAAACTCGTTGTCGATGGCCTCCAATTCTCGCTTGGTGCTACCAGCCAGAATTCGGCGCAGTTGAGCATCAGGCAAGCGAGAGCACACAAGGAGAAAAAATGTCACGGAAACAAACATGCACTAGACAAGGCTCAGAGAAATAAAACATGCCGGGCTTCAAGCTTTAGACACCATACCTTGAGGGTTGCATAAGAGGGGCGATGAAGAGGTTGGCGAAACGGTCAAGGGCGCCGCCCAAGAAAGCGGGTTCAATGTCAAAGGCATAGTAGGTTTCTTCGCCATCAGTAGCCGCGTTTGTGTTGCCGCCGTGGTCACTCACAAAATGATCAAACTCGTCCTCACCGGGGTCTGGGCATGACGAGGCAAAAAAAAAAAAAAAATGAGACTTGGTGAGCGTCGAGACTGAGCGATCGGGCCGGCGTATTGTCGAGCAAAGGGTGCACCATGTCAACTCACACTTTTCGCTGCCCATGAACAGCATGTGTTCTAGGAAATGGGCTAGGCCGCCGAGGTCTTCAGGGTCCTCAAAGCTCCTAGGAAAGCGAGCAATTGGGCGAAAAGGCGTTGGCGGCAGCAAGGGCTGTGTCCATTCAAGAGGTATTCATCAGTACAAGCCCGTACCCAACGCCGACCCGAAGGGCAGCGGCTGCCTTGCGCGGTGCGTCGGTTTCATCCTCGCCGTCGTCTTCGTCGTCATCCGAGTCTTGATCATCGTCAGTCTCTTCATCCGTGTAGTCTTCATCCTCATCTTCATCTTCATCCTCGTCGCCACTGGCTGAGCCGGAGACACGGCTGTGGGAGCCAGCTTTGCTTTGGCGCTGTCGATGCGTAAAGGCCTCGATCGATTCGCCCTCCTCGAGCAGGTGCGAGTTGGAGACGAGGACGACGCGCATACCATTGGTCAGGTAAAGGATGCGATACTGCTTTCGGTCACTGGGGCTTTGCTTCGGTAGCACACCATAGCGAGCAATGTTGACATTGCCAGTCACAGCTGTTTCCGCGGGTATGGCGGGTTCTTGCACGGGCGCGATAGAGTTGGACGGGGCAGCTGAGATGGGCGCAATGGGGCACGGTCCGGGAGGCGCTTCGTCCGTCGGGTCTAGGGCTGCGCCTCGACGTGCAGCCTCGGCATACGAACCGCGCACTGCCCCGCGGCGTGCCGCCTCGGCATAAGAAGTCGGGCGCGGAAGAGCGGGGCCCTTGCTCGCCGGCGACGCCTCGGTCTTAGCCGATGCCAGCGCCGCTGGCGCTGACGAGCACCAAGCCCAGGCAGCCTGTGCCACTGCCGTGGCAAACAGCAGCATGGTCACCGTCTCGATTCAATCAACCTTGGACGACGAAATACGAGAGAGAGAGAGAGAGAGAGAGAGAGAGAGAGAGAGAGAGAGAGAGAGAGAGAGAGAGAGAGAGAGAGAGAGAGAGAGAGAGAGAGAGAGAGAGAGAGAGAGAGAGAGAGAGAGAGAGAGAGAGAGAGAGAAAGTCTTCTTTGACCACATGCTCTCTCTTTGTCTTTTGTTTTTTTCTTACATGTGGTAGTTGTGCTATTTCTTTGTTATACATGTATTATGTCTTTCTCTCTTTCTTTTCTGAAACTCACTCACTTTGGAATCGGGGTGTCAATTTCTCTCTTAGTAGAGTGGGTCTCGGCGCCTAATGGCTTTCTCTTTGTGAGAGCTGGAGTTCTGTGTTCCCTTGACAAGCACGGGGCTAGTCTGGGGTCGAAAGGGTTGGTTACTGGTCGACCAGGCCCCAGCTTCGCGAGAGAAAGTGTAGAAAACCCTATTCATAACTCATGACGACTTTTTGCGGCTGAGGTTTTCAATCGTCTCTCGCTTGATACGGGCTTGCTTGACCAGGCTCGTAAAGATGCCGCCCTTGTCCATCAGCTCCAATGGGGAGCCGAATTCAACCAGCTGACCCTTGTCCATAACCATTACATAGTGCGAGTCCAGAATCGTGTGCAAGCTGTACGTCACGCCCAGCAACCATAAGGATAAGCTTGGCATACATTCCCAACTCGGCTTGGCAAGCACGTGATCGCAGGCCAAACTTACCGGTGGGCAATCACAAGCACCGTGCTACTTGTAAACTGCTCGCGTAGTGCCGTCTGGATGATGCGATCCGTGGCCGTGTCCACGTTGGCGGTGGCCTCATCCATGACCAAAAAGCGCGTGGTTCTGATGGGCAAGAAGAAATGGATCGCATGGCGCATGAGCAGACGATATCGTGGTTGAGGGCACGAACACTACAAGAGCAGATGGTCATACTCACTTGATCATGGCTCGCGCCATGCAGAGCAGCTGGCGCTGACCGACGGACAGGTTGCCTCCACTTTCGCTGAGGGGTGCGTCTAGGCCACCGCTCAGCTTGCGAACCACCTACAAATAGTACACACCAGGCCGAGTGAGAAGCCTGGAGCACGAGCACGGGCAGTGATGCGCATCATGATGCACCTGAGCTTGTTCAACTTACATCATCCATGTGGGAAAGCTCAAGTGCTCGCCACAGGTCAGCGTCCTCAAATTCATCAAAAGGGTCCAAATTCTTGCGCACAGAGCCGCTACACGTGCAAGAGCAGGTTGTTGAATGGATATCAAAAGGTTCAGACTGACGCGGGGGGCAGAAGCGATTGAACCATCGAGTTGGCGTGGCAGCAAACACCTCGCTGCCTCTATCAGAACGCTGTCCCCACCTGAAAAGAACCGGATCTTGGGGAATAACACCCAGCTTGGCACGTAGGAGCGGTAGAGGCAGCTGCGAGGTCGGGGTGCCGGCCAGCAAAATGTCGCCCTCGGTCGGAGCCATGCGAAAGAGTGCAGCCAACAGCGATGACTTCCCAGCACCTGTAAAGTGCAAGGCCAACAAAATGTCAGAGATTCCTTTCGCACCAACACAGCAAGGGTTCGCCAGTTGGTTGCACGTACCTGTACGACCCACAATGCCCACAAAGCTACCCGAGGGGATGGTGCAGTCAATGTTCTGTAGACGCAGCGGCGTGCCAGGCGCGTAACGCAAGGATAGGTTGCGAAATTCAATCGATGCTGATGGTGGCCATGACGGGCTGGACACCTTTTCCACCACAGCCTGGGCACACGTAATATCATTATCAGTGTCGGGAGTCAAAACAAGCGTTCACATGCAAGACGTGTTGTGCGTCAGCTCATGCACGTACTTTGTCGGCGTTTTCAGGCTCGGGATTGCCAGTCATTTCCTCTTCAAGCGGCAGCGCACCGTACTCAAGTACACGCTCAACACTAGTCATTTGATTTTCCAGCTCAGCACTCTAAATAGCAAATGCAGGAGCACCCCCATGCCATGAGGTTCGTGCAATGAAGAAAACAACAACCATCAACATGCATGAGCTTGCTTACCTGACGAACAGCCCACTGGAAGGTGGCAGTCAGTTGCAAGACGTAGCTAATTTGCAGACCGAGACGAGAAGAGCCGAGATCATCGCGCAGGGCCGTGGTAACAAAGACCGCGGCTGCCAAAAAGGTAAAAGTAATGGCATCGAGGCGACAGCCAAGCCATCGACTCGTGGTCACAAAAGCACTGTATGCGCGACTGTGTCCATTCTGGACGGGGGTAAAGCGCAGCAGACACGGTGAGACGGAGTTCGAAACAGAGGCTGTCTCTCCAAACACGGACAAAGAAACAAACAAATGGGGAAGAGGCCAATATAAAAAAAGAGGGGGAAGGGCGGGGCATTTCTTGTGAACCAAGCACTGACTTGATATTCTTCAAACAGGCGAGTGAAGCGCTCCGATGCGCTGTGGCTACGCAAGGTGGCCAGGCCATTCAAAGTTGACGAGAAGTGGCTGTAGACGGGCGAGCGGGCCACAGCTTCTAGACGCTTGACCTATGGAGCGTAGTAAAGATGGCGCATGAGAATTGCACGAATGGGTGCGCGCTTGAAGGAAATAGCCGAATGGCACAAGGGTTGTACCTCGCGCGCTGTCGCCAAGTAGTATGCATTGACCTTGACAAATGCCACCGCCTGAGCGTGCATGGTGCAGAGTGAGTTCAGAGTCTCAGAGGTGCGAGTATGCTTTAAAGCATCGTTGATGAAAGAAGGGAGTGGCCGGAGAGACTTCAAGAGGGGGCATTCCCATTGAGCGAACGAACCAGGACAGGAACAACGATGAAAAGCCAGGGGTTCAGCGCACAGACGAGCAGATAGGTGCCCGTGATGAGAGTCGAAAGCTGGAGAAGATCAAAGAATGTTACAGGAAGCAGGTCGTCGATAAAACCTGGAGATGACGGTGACATGTAGTTGCGTCAGGAAAATACGAAAGCAATGTAACAACACATCAGGACCAGTATTCCATCTGCGAGACGCAAAGCGTACCCATATCTTTGGAAAAGCGGTTGAGGATGCGACCGATGGGATTGATATCAAAGAAGCGAATGTCCGTACGGACAACTGAACCAAACGCGAGAGCACTAATGTTTGTGCTTGCCTGTGCTCGAAAATGTGACCCCAAATGAGAAGCCCGCCCATAAAGCCTGGATTTGCAATTGCTGGCGCAACGAGGCGAAAGACTGACCTTGGCTGCCCATTGCATGAAAACAATCGAGCGCGAGAAGGCGGTCACCAAAAAAACGATGATAAAGACGGCATAGATCACAAGGTTGATATCATCGCCGCGATCTTCGGGATCCATGGCCACCCAATAGCTGAGCCACCAATCAGACAGTAGTTGTGCCACCTTGACGAGACAGATGGCGGCAAGCGGGGTGAGCGCCTGCAGGCGACGAGGGTACACGATTCGCTTATGCGCCTTTCATTGAGCCCTCACCTGAGTCAAGATGCACAAGCCGATCCAAAAGATGATGGCAGGGGTGGACACGGCCAACCGACAGTACTTCCAGTACGCGGCCAATCCAACAACACCTTCTTTGCGATTCTCTGCTTGGATGAGCGTGGGACCGGCATCTTCGCCGCCATTTGCGTCCTCCACCTCCTGTTCCTTTGATGTGTCTCCAACCTTGTCCTTAGCCTTGGCTTGAGCTTCATGTGCGGCTTGCTCGGCATGATCGGCTTCGTGCTCGGCCAAAATTTCCGTGAGTTTGGAGGGCCCACCTTGCATAAGCTCATCATAAGTACCGACGCTGTCCACGGAGCCGTCGCGGCCCAAGACAACAATGCGATCGGCGTGTTTGATAAACTGTAGCTGGTGGGTCACCAGGATGCGGAGCTTGTCGTGAAGCAGCTTCTGGACGCACTCCTCAAAAATAAGACGGCCAACCTTGGCATCAACGGCGGAAAGCGGATCGTCCAGCAGATAGATGTCGGCATCGGCATAGACCGCGCGGCAGAGCGACAGGCGCGCCTTTTGCCCGCCAGACAAAGTGACACCACGCTCGCCCACCTCGGTGGCATCGTTGTTCTCAAACAGTAGCAAATCGGGGGCCAGTTGGCAGGCCTCCACCACGGTTTTGTACCAAGTTGCATCATAGTGGGCGCCAAAGAGAATGTTGCCGCGCACCGTGTCAGAGAGAATCCATGCCTCCTGTGAGGCATAGCCAACTGTACCTTGCACAGTCACAGACCCTGCAGAGGGCAGGAGCTCACCGAGCACGCTCATAAGGAGGCTAGTCTTGCCGCAGCCAACGGGGCCAACCACGGCGACCAGCTCATTGCCACGAAAGGTCGTAGTCACATCGCGGAGGGTGGGAGTGTCTACCCAAGACGTGGAAAATTTGTCGAAAACCACCAACGGGTCAATGGTCTCGGGACCAAGTGTAGGTGCGACAGCAGTATCGGCGGTCGCAGTGCTTAGTGCCAGTGGGTTGGACTCGCGCACGTTCTTGTCCTTGACAGCCTGTGCCCGTTTTCCATGCTTGTTGACCACGGCTGCTGGACTGAGAGAGAGCCCTTTGCCACTTTCCGGGGTGTACATGCGACGATACGCGGTACCTTCCTCCAGGAAAGAGGCGTGCTCCGGCAGGCGCAAGAAACGCTCAAGTCGATGAAAGGTCACAGAGAGTTCAGACACGCCCTGTGATGGGCCCATTCAAAGATATCAAAGACGGAAAGCATGAGAGAATGTGTGGTTCAGACCAGCTCTTCGCCAAGTTTTTTTTTTTTTTTTTTGTTGTTGTTGTTGTTGTCGACAATGCGAATGTACCTGAACGGCCGTTGGCAGGAACAGAGCCAGCTGCATGCGGATGGATTGCAGAAGGCTGATGGTGGTAAATGCCTAGCCGTGGAAAAGCAAAGGTATGAGATGAGAACGTGGAGGTCAAGAGCGAGCAGGGTCGCCTTGTGCATGATTTGAAGCCTGGGTGGCAACCAGGCCGAAAGAACAAAGGACAAGGGTATTCTGCAATGTGAATGGAGACAAAGCACACCTTTTCCGCGGTAAGATCGCCTTCGACAAGTTGATATGTCATGAGGCTGAGAAATGCGGTCAAATTGCCAGACACGAAGTCTGGGAACGAATGGAAGCCGCCAAAACAGATGAGATGGGTCTGGAAAGTCGAGTTGGTTGTGTGGGCAAGCGTGGCAATGAGGCAGAAAGGCGGCTCAAGCGGGTGGGTCACGTACAAAAGGCCATGTTGCTGGCGCGAATTACATTGGTTTTGCGGATGGTACCCATTTCACGCTTGCGCAGCGCTTCGACAAGCCGGGTAAAGGGGTGTTCCCACCCGTACATTTTGAGCACGCGCATGCCTGAAAGAATCTGAGAAAGGTCGTCTGAATAAGTTTAGCGAGCGCAAGACGACACAAGCTGTCGTGGGCCAGAGCGCAAAGATGAATCGCCGGTGTACCTCGTTGACGACTTTCACACGTTCGTCGGTAAAATCGGCGGTCAGACTGCGGAGCTTGGCAAAGAGCTGGGAGAGTGGTGGTGTGAGCCGCAAGCTTGGGAGTGAACAAGCATCGTCATTTTGACAGAATGAGAAGCAGGAGCTCACCTTGCCCAGAACCACATTCAGGGGGAGGAAAAGAATGTAGATGCTGACACCGGTGAGAGCGGAGGGGCCGAGTTGCTCCCAGGCCAGATAGGAGGCCAGAGCCATTTGGATGGGGGCAATGAGCAGAAAGGGCAAAGGGACTGAAGTGGTAATGAAACGTTCGACGTCATTGGAGGCCAAATTGACGACGTGGCCCGTAGTCACCTTTGCAAAGCTTTGTCTGTGTTGAGAGCGAGGGCAAGAATGAATAGGATGGGAGCACCCGCAAAGGTTGGCCCAAACAGCCTGGGACCAGGTGCTCGAGGTAGAGCAAGAGAAAGAGAGGCGGGTCGGATATCACATGGGAGTAGTATTTACCGGCTGATGCGCATGGCTTTGCGGTAGATGAGACCAAGGCTGGCAGCCATGCCTTGATATCCCAAGCGCCAACTTTCCAAAAACGCGACGTGATGTAGTAGCACGTGACTGGCATGATTGGCAAGGACACATGAATGAGTAAGGCCAAGGGATGGGACTATTGTGACGGGGTTAAAACGTCGATGAAAAAGACAGCTGTCAGAACGATGACAGTCTTACGCAAGAACAGAGGCGACAAGACCGCCAGCATAACCAAAGGCAACGTCGTCACCGTCCCCATTGGCAGTGGCATTGATGAGACGGCCAAGGAGCCATGGCTCCAGAACCTAGGGAGAAGAAACGCAGTGGGGTTGGCAAAGCACAGGTGGCGCTGAGGCAAGTGACGCGTGCTAAGCATGATAAGGCAAGGTTGAGCTGTGCTTTGATTTGACGTCGGTGAGAGAGTATGACATGAAGTCGAGCGGGAAGGCGTTCGTGGCTTGAGGAAGTGGACAAGTCAGCGTGACAGAAAAAAAAAAAAAAAAAAAAAAAAAAAAAGACGCTCACCTGAAGCATGGCTTCGATGAAGAGCAGAAAGGTGGCGAGGGCGAAATGTTTCCAGAAAGCCTTGACGTAAGCGTTGAAGAGGTTACCATTCGGTTTGGCCAGCTGCTCTTGCCAGGCTTCTTCGAGGGTGGAGGCGAGGTGATAGGACTCGTCACGATGTGGGGTGGGAAAGAGGTCATCGGGTTCGAGCTGGCGTTTGGCACCGAGGCGCATGATGGGATTGACCCAAACAAAGCTGATGAAGCGCAAGAAGCGGTATGGTGTCCACACGTTCTCGTCGAGGGGATGACGAAAGCCCGGATAGCGGGCTGAGACATCACGGCTCTTGATGCCTGGCTCGGCTTGTGGGATGCGCTCCCGCTCCGAGTCGACGCGGCTGCGGCGGCGTTGGCGGGGCAAAGCACCGGGACGATGGTCTTCCGTGTTCAGCTTTGGGTTGGCGTCGGGGTCGAGGGAGGGATGTTGCTTGGCTGGGTGGAAGGGAACTGGCTGGCTGAGTCCGGGGAGATGCGGAGCTGGCCCGCTGGTGGGCTCGATCATTTCCGCATTGGGGCGGGTGTCGACATGCATGTTCTCTTCCTCGAGCGAGGTAGCTTGCATATATGAGCGGGAGCGTGCAAGCAGCTCGTCGTCCAGCATCATGGCGATGCGGTCCGCCATGGCGAGCGGTCTTTGCTGTGAGCGCGTGCGAGAGTGAAGCGGAGTGAGAGAAAGCGAGAGAGGGAGAGAGAGGGGGGCAAGGGAGATAGAGAAAAGCAATGGCAGCGAACAAACTTGCAAATCCTTTCTGCACGGTCTTCCC